ACACACACACACACACACACACACGAGAAAAAGATATGTGTATAACCCAACATAAGATTGATACTGTTTTACAGAAATCTTTAATGACCTTTTAAATGTGTTCATCTAATATATTTTACATAGTCCTGCATAACTGTCATTTTGAGAGCTCTTTACTTTTTTATCTAGGACCATACAGCAACTTCTCTTGCCTTCTGAATTATGCTCTTTGTTATTTCCTATATGCTATGTCTGGAGGTATTAGAATATTTCGAGTTTGTATAACTGGAAAATATTTTACTTTTAGTTTTCAAAAGTATGTTTGTTAAGTATAAAATTCAAAGGGGACAGATTTTTTTCTTTTCAGTGCTTTAAATTAGTCTAGTTTCTTATACACTTGATCTTTTTTTTTCTTTCTAATGTGAAATAAGATGCTAAATAATTTTGTTCTTCCATAGCTAATATTTTTTATGTATATGCTTTAATGATTTTTTTCTTTACAATAAGTTTTGGACAGTTTCATTTTTGTGTATCTTGGTATGATTTTATTCAGATTTCTTGTGCAAAAGGTTCTTTTTTTGGAAATGTGGTGTTTTAAGTTTAACTAAATTCAGAAATTTTAAATATTTATTGCCTATGCCCTTCTACTTTGAGAATTCTAATTATATGAATATAAGTTTCTTGATTTTGGTGCAGAGTGAACTATGATATGACTGATCTTTAAATTCTTCATTTTCATCGTGGACAGTTTTTACTGTTACATTCAAGTTTGTAAATTTATTTACAATGTGCAATATATTATTAATATCATGCTATATATTCATTTCAGAAATACTTCTCTAAAATTCACTCTGTCTACATCTTATATATTTCACATTTCAATATTTGTCTATAATTTTTAATATGCTATGTAATTATTGATTTTCAATAAAGTTAATAAAAAAAATGTCTGGTGGACAGTTGCCAGGTGCTGGATCCATTTAACCTAGTTACTACAAAAAAACTGTTTTAACTATAGTTGTTCTTTTCTCTTTGGAGCTTCAGGCCGATCGCTCAAGTAATTGTTTAAAATGTGTTCTGTGTGTCTTAAGGCCACGGAAAGTGAGGCTGGTGATATGGACTTGAGCGGGTTGCCAGAAACGGCGGTGGACTCGGAGGACGACGAGGATGAGGAGGACATCGAGAGGGCCTCGGACCCGCTAATGAGCCGGGACGTGGTGCGGGACTGCCTGGAGAAGGACCCGATCGACCGCACAGATGATGACATCGGTGAGTGTGCTTGGCGGGGCCAGGGGTGGGGCCAGGGGGCATGCAATCCACAAGTCTCTGAGAGATTTGTAGACATCCTTGGTGTAAACATGAGTGTTTATTGGGAAAAAGTGGAATAAGTCGGTTTTACTTCATGCCCTTAAAAGTCTATAAGTAATTCTCTGAGTGAAGTGTTCTAGTAAAGCTCCTCTAGGAGCTTCGTAGCTTGGTTTGTGACCCCAGAGAAGTCAGAAGTCTTCCAAAGAGGATGTCTTCCTGTGGGCACTGGGGAAGTTGTTGTATGAATAACTGGCTTCTCCTGATGGTGAGGCCAGAGAGAAGACTGCAAAAGCCCAGCTGGTGGCGCTCAGGTGGGGCTGAGGTGGATTCCACAGTGTGGTGAGGGCTTGTGCTGGAACTGCCTCTGGCTCTGGCTTCATCTTGGAAAGGAGGCGGAGAACACCTTCTGTGGTGAGTCCTCTCCCTGCAGAGCGCTGGCTCCACGTCCTCCAGGCCGTCTGGCTTCCCACTGCTCTCCCAGCTCTCTTGAGCCTGTATTCTTGAAAAGAAATGAATGTGCTGCGGTTGTGGGATTGAATATAGGAGGGCATACACATTTGTGGCGTGTTTGAGACAACCGTTTAGATTATGTTCACGTGCTAGCAAGTCAGAGCTGGAAGACCAAAACCTGGGTGAAGTAGGTAAAGTTCAGTCAAGTCCTTTGCTTTATAGCAGTTTGCGACTGTTGTTGTGACCATCATACCGCAGTAGTACTCGCTCCGCCACCCTGTGCTTAGTAGTGCAGAGGCCCTCTTACAGTGAGCACTGGGCCAGCTGCTAGCAGCTCTGGTGGACAGGCAGCCGGGGTCCCTGCTAGGTCACAGTCCATGGGGAGATGCAGAGGGAGCAAGGGCTGCGTCCCGGGAGGCGTGGACAGTGGATGCTTCTAGGTTTCTCTTGCAAAGACGTCAGTTCTTGCTTTCTTGTAGATGAGGCCACAGCATTTATTTGACTTCCAAGTTCCAAAATCAGTTTTTGGTCTTCTGTTCTTTGATCATAGCCTGCTGCTATTTTTTCAAAACTTCAACTATCCTCTGTTGTAAGGAAAGAAGAAAATTAAAAATACGTTCAATTTGCCTCTTTATAGAAAATCCTTGCCCATAGGTGGATTTGATAATAGACAGGATATTGCTTATGAAATGATTCATTTGGAAGTGACCCTTTCTTTTTTCTTGTCTTTTTTTTTTTTTTTTTTTTTTTTTTTCTTTTTCTTTGGTGGAATCGGGGATTGAACTGAGACCCTTGTGCTTGCCAGGGAAGCACTTATTCTACTGAGTCATCTTCCCAGCCCTCCTTTCATTTTGCTTCTTTTCTCTTTTCAGGTTGTCAGGGATCTCATTATGTTGACTCGGTATGGTCCAAGCAGTTCTCCTGTCCAAACAGAGGCTAGGACTTATAGGCATGTGCCACCAGGCCCAGCTATATACCTTTTTGTCTTGTCTTCCCTGTCTTTTCTTTTTATTGTGCCTGTTGGTATAATTTCTATAGTGATTAACATTTACTTAAATACTAGTTCCCTTACAAGCAATTCTGACACTTGCTGCTATCAAATATACATTTATTTAAAGTAATACAGTGGCTAAATTCAAGTGAAGTTTGTGATTCTTTCTAAGGAAAACCTGAAGGATCTTGCATTCTGTATCCCTCAAAACAAAACTACTAAGGAAAGATAGTTTGGGCTATTTGAAGAACAATGAATACACCTTAGACCATAATGTTACATGAAATAAAGGACACATAAGCTTAAACGGTGCATGGTTTACCTTATATGAAAAAGCCAAAGTATAAATAAAGGGCAAAGCAGAAGATAGTAAGATGTAGGAAGCTACAACATTTTTTAAGTGTAAGGGGATTAAGGGATAGATAGTGGACTTCTGAGAAGATGGCAAATGGTAAATAGCAGAGAAAGAGCATCTTTAAGACTGAGGAAGAGGAGAAGGAGGCAAGTGATTCCCCTTTACCCACAAAAGATCTGAAGTGAGAATGAAGCCCCCAGAGAGAACAAAAAGAGAAACTTCAATGGAGAAGGAGCAGGTAGCAGGTAGCACCTCAGACCTGTACACACACAGTGACTGTGGCTACCCCAGAAGCGTCCATTGAGGGTGACACAGCCCTGGAAGGGCACAGAGGCCATGGAGGACTGCAGTGGCTGGTGAGTAGTGTTGGTTTAGACGTCACACATGAGAAGGTAATCGCCCAGGAGCCATTTGGAGAGGGGCCAACTGAGCTCAGAGCTCAGGACAGTGGCTGCTCCAGAGTGTGGCCAGCTGCTGAGTTCAAGCCCTCAGCGGGCACACCAGCTGCTGAGGGCTGAGTGGATCTGCTCCCAGCCTCATAGACAGAAAGCAGCTTGAACTTCAGAAGGAAAAAAGGTGCAGGCTTGCTGGCATCCACTACTTCACTGTAAAGCTGTTGCTGGCTCACTGGGATTAATCAACATGGATTTGGACTCTGCCTCCACATAGTCTACCAGTGAGAGGAGAGACATACCTTAAAATGGACCTTTTCCTTCCCTTCTTTCTTTTTTCCCCCTTTTTTTCTTTATTGCTTATTCTTATTTGTACATGAGGGTGAACATGGTTTCTAGTTTTTTATGGTTGTGCTCTGTTCTGTTCTTGTTTTTTCCTCTTCTCTCTCTCTCTCTTTTTTTTTTTTTGGCACTACTGAAGATTGAACTCGGGACCCTGCACTTGCCAGGCAAATGCTTATTCTACTGAGCTATCTCCAGCCCCTTTCCTCCTTTTTCCCTCCTGTCTTCTGTACCAGTTTCCCTGAGGTTTACAAGATTCTCCTTCTCTCCTTCTTTTTCTCTATTTTTCCCCCACCCTTCTTACATTTTCTTCCCTGGGGGTAAAATTATAATGAGGGCTTATGTACTACAGAAATTTTTCTGGTTTGTTTTAAATTTTGTTAAATAACCAAAATCTAGTTCATATAGTTAAAGGTGGTACATTAACAGTTACATCAGTTTGTCATTTTCTAGAATGAGTTTGATGAGATCATTGTTGCTGATCATACATTAGCCAAAGTGACACAATTGTTCTAACCAGTTGTTCTTCCTGGTATACCAAGACTCAGATTGCCTAAAGGTCATAAAAAATACTCTACGCCAGTGCCAGTGAAGCAAGGGCTAGACCAAGTAGGCAGCAACCTCTCATCCCCAATAAATTGAAGAGGTAGGATATTACAACAGACTCAAAGCCAAAAGCCAGTTGTTCCTGAAAGATATCTCTAAGTAGTAGTCATTTCCTGAGGCTTCTAAATAGTAACAGTAAAGCTGCTTGCTATGGGCAATTTATAAGAATCAATAGGGGAATTCAACTTTTTAAAAAATAGGAAATGAGAAGACACTTAAACAAGAGGCATTCTCAATCATGTAGCTTACTAAAGGCAAATGTGGGGGCAGTGAAGTGGGACGGTCTAAAAGCTGCCCAGCCGGCCTCTGGAGGGCTAACAGTGGGAGTAACAAAGCAGATAAATGAGACTATAGAAAAAAAAAATCAAATAAGATATAAGTTCTCATAGCTACAGAGATGATGATGACAATGAAAGACATGCTTAGTGACTATGGAACAGACACAGATTAAAAACACAGAGGAGCTTAGGAAAATGATGGAAATCATGAGTGCCCAACATAATAAGGATGTGGAGTCCATAAAACAGATTCAAACAGATATCCAGGAGATTAAAAATGCAGTAGAATGAGCCAGTGTGAGGACAGAATCTCAGATTTAGGGCCGGGGAAATATCTCAGTAGAATAAGCACTTCTTGGCAAGCGCAAGGGCCTGAGTTCAATCCCCAGTTCTGCCAAAAAAAAAAAAAAAAAGAATCTCAGATTTAGAGAATAATTTTGTGATTAGCAGTCATGAAAAGAAACATTTCTTGAAAAATAGCAAGGGACCCTGAGAAATCAATCCAGCTGCTTTTAGGTGATGCAGAGAAGAATAACATAGGATTGATCAGGGTCAGTGAGAAAGGCAGAGCCAAAAAAGACCTATGCATAGACATTGTGGCAGAAAATTTCCCTGCTTGGGAAAAAGAATTTGACATACAGATAAATGAGGCATATGCCAGTTAGCCATGGTTTAAGAAAATGCCAGTTAGCCATGGTTTAAAAAAAAATTTATACCAAGATATGTAATAGAATTCCAGCAGTTCAACAAAAAAGAGTCAAATATTAAAAGCTTAACAAGAAGCAAATCACTTTTAAAGGAAATCCCATGAGGATCATGGCAGACTTTTGAGTCTGAACTCTATAAAGTCAAGGAGAGCTTGGAGTGAAGTATTTCAAGCCCTAAAAGAAAAACAAACCTCCAACCCAGATTGATGTTCTCTGAAAACTATCTTTCAGAATTGATGATGGAAAAACAAGGTATTTCCATGACAAAGAACACCAAAGGAAATTCATGAACGCTAGACCACTCCAAAATGTTCTGAAGGACATTACAGAAAGAAATAACAAAGCTTAGTACTCCATGAATCCTAACAGAATGAGTTCATCAAGGCAAATAAGTAAACAGAGCAGAAAAAAGAGAGCTCACTACAGGGAGATAACATGTCAGTGCATATCAGTTATGACCATCAGTGTTAATGGTCCCAATTCACCAGTCAAAGGAATAGTCTAACAGAGTAGATCAAGAAGCAATACCTAACAATATGCTGCATACAAGAAAACATTTCTCTCAAAGAAATTGATAGACTGAAAGTCAAAGGATAAAAATACTTCATGTAATAAAAACCCAGAAAAATGCAGGGGAAGCTGTTCTATTGCAGACAAAGTAGAGCTAAATCAAAGACTGATTAAGAGAAATAAGGAGGGTCACTATATATATACAATAAATAACAGTGCACCCAACTATATAAAACAAATTGTAATGGACATGAAAAATGAAATAAGCGCTAATACAGTTGTGCTGGGGTAATATGAATACCTCACTGTCACAGATAGATCAACTAGTCC